CACTTGCTTTTTGACAGGAGTCTTGGTGCTTCTAGGCATCGATGTGTCGCAGATCTCCTTCAGTGAATTCTGAATCCGATCTGCGGCATCGTCTATGTTCACGTCCTCAGGCAACTCAGTGGGTAACACCCATCCCTGAGCCAACGCAGCTTCCTCTGCTAGACCGCTGTCTATCCTAGCCAATGACCATTTCGGAAACAATAAGTTGTTTCTAGATGTGATCCGCTGGGTATTTACGCTGGGGTCCGGGGATAGCTCGAATCTTATATACCTGTGATCGGACATTGTGAACTTGTTGAGAATGACTCTCCAATTATCAAATCGGGGAGCCATCTCCGGGGTAGTAAATGTTAGATCCACAATGGATCCACCCCCTGGCCTAACACAGGTATATTCATTTCCCCTGTTCATAATTTCCAGTCCCAGCGCATTGGCCCATCCGACAACCAGATCACCCTTCACCGTCACTCTGGGGGAACCCCAAGCAGGATGCTTCGCATTGAAGTCCCCCAGAATAATCATGTGCCTATGGTCATGTCGACGCACCACTTCCAGCAAACGACCTATCCAAATTTCGTATTGGTCGGCTTGAGTGTTAGGAGAGAAGTAAACTCCTACCAGTCTCAATTCTCCCCAGTCGACCACTACGTATCCAGATCCTGCCTCTTTAACCACCAGCGGTGGGCTGTAGTAGGAAGTATGTGGCACCATAATTGCCACGCTTCCATCCGTATCCTTTACCCAGTTCCTGTGCGCTGGAACTGAGTAAGGCTCGGCAATGACGGCAATGTCAATAGCCCACTCGGCAATCGACTGCAACATAAGATCTTGTGACCCTGCTGCATGATTAATGTTGCACTGGAGGAATTTAAGTTGTCTTCTAAACATTAAGATGACATCGCTTCTTCCTCCAGTGCATCATCGCCACGCGAAGCGGCAACAGCATTGTCCTCTTTGGCTTTTGCAGTCAATTTGGTCTTTCTAGTGGGGGGGGAACAGGCCTTACTTCCCATAGAATGAGAGGAAGGAAGCCCAGCATCTGCGCACACGATGCATTTGGGCTTGCTGCTATTACAACTTGCAGCCTTGTGTCCCTCTTGGCCGCATTTAAAACAAAGACCACTTCTATCAGTTTCAGACTTGCATAACTGTCTAGTATGGCCCACTCCCATGCATTTATAACATCGCAAGGGAAGGGCCTCCAGGACTTGCACCTGCACAGATGACCAGCCAATCAGAAGTCTGCCGCCAGCTTGAACCGTTTTGGCAGCTGTGACCGGACACTTGACAACTACTGTGCCTAGGCCACTTTGGTTCCTCCTGATCATGCCTACCTTGATAAGCTCCACCGAGCAATTCCCTTTTGAGGCAAGGGCTTCCGCCACCTCCGTGCTCTCGATGGAGTCATCCAAACCAGAGATGCGGATATCCACACATTTTGTGGGTCTGGACACTTTCAATCTATCTCCGAACATGGACCTGAGACCCTCTGCCAGTCTATCGGCCTTCTCACCGCTTGCTGCTCCTGGCACTTCGATCTTACGGGTACCGGTTGCGGTGGGTCTAACCTTTATAGATTCAATATTAAAATCTTTGAGAGATAGGGCTTGCCTCGCTTGCTTAATAGCCGCAGAGTACGTAAGCCCCTCCTTCTCAGCCTCTGGTGAGATTGTTATAACAACCGCTGCAGACCGAGGAGCCGAAAGCTTGGGCTTCCTATTTCTAGACGCCTTGGTGTTAATTGACGTCTTAGGGGGTTTGGCAGCGGTGTCCGGCACCACCGAGATCTTAGACTGTATCGCTGCAGCCTTTTTAGCTTTCCTTCTCTCTTTTTTCCTATTACCAGCAGTGACCCAATCATCTTGCTGGTTCATCTCTGTAGCAGGTTGCTGCTTCTGAGAGGGTGCAGGACTAGCTTTAGCAATGGGTTGCTGAGCTTTCGGAGCTTTAGGCTGTGACTTAACCGTGGTTGCAGGCTGTGGCTTTTTGCTAGCCTTTTGGTTCCTCTGCGGCAAGGGCTGCGATGACGACTTAGCGCTTTCCTGCGGAAGCGACTTGGCAGCCTTCTTGGTAGTAGAAGAAGACGTCGCCTTTTTGTCGGCTTCTAATGGAGGGCGGAGATTTGGCTTAGGCAGCAAGCGGCTTTCTAGGCCCTCTAAACGAGCGTTCATCATTTGGCCAGTCGAGCGCATCATCTCCGCTTTGAACTTTTCCATTAAGTCATTCATAGCATCATGTGACATTTGTATAATATCACCAGCTACCGTTACATCTATGGTGTCTACTATAGGCGAGGGGCTTTGTACGGTCCCTCCCTTTATTGTAGCGGACATTTCACTAAATGCCTTTCTCAAAGCCTTAATTTCCTGACTCAAGTTTTTGACTTCAGAGTTGAGTCTCCTGTTATCCGCTCTCAGGATCCTCACCTCCTCAGACGGTTCACGCTTCATGAGGTGTTGGATCAGCATATCAAGTCCAATTGCCGATTGCACAATGTCTCTTTTGCATCCTCCCTTAAGATTGCTACTTTTATTGGCTGTGGTCATAATCAGAGAGAGAGCCCCACGAACTATTTCCAACAAATCGTCAGTCGGAAGCTGTTCATATTGTACCAATTTCTCCTCATCTGAAGTATCCGGTTGTCCCTGATTCTGTGATCTGTCTTTTACTCGGAGCAAATAATCGTCACGTCCAGTAACAGAGAGTGTATCAGATGACACCTCATTATCCGAGAGCACTGTCACTAGATCTTTAAGAGCTGTATCCAGTACTTTAACATTGCCATCATTTTTATGCGAGTGTACACCATCAATATTGCGTGCACTACCCTTTTTTGACTTCTTCTTTTTGTTTTTACGGCCACTATTGATCGTACAATCTGAGCTACCGTCAGCATCCATTTTACTGGTGCAGTCTCCACCGGATGAACTCGAAGACCTTTCCAACGAACGTTTCCTTTTAGTCTCAATTATTTTGCCTGATGGTGGGATAGGTGTTTCAGCCACCGATGCAGGCAAAATTCCCTCAGGCGACACTTCTTTATCAGGAGCACACTTTTTTGCACTTCGTGTATTGCTCCGAAGTACTCTTGCACTTGTATCGATTGCATCAGACCTTTCAATCTCGAAGACCGATTGCAAACTGTCAGTTTGAGTGTTCGGAACGCAGGTAGAGCGAACTCCTTCCTTCAGTGGAATGCCCAATAGGACCTTTCTACTATTTCCGTCAACTGAACCCTCTCTTTCCGCATCGGAGTTCAACGGAGACTGAAAATCACCTTCACTACCAGCAGACTCCGAAGTCCCTCTTCTACGACTTCTACCACTACGCAGACTCGATACTGAGCTTGCTCTACTCCCACTACGACGGGGACTTCTGTCCCGCTTTATATCATCCTTGGGCGCCTTTACGCCGGCGCATGGCCCCCTCCGCTCGCTTCCGCCCGAGTCCGGCCCACCTTTAACATCAACGGGTTTTTTAAATTTATTAGTTTCAGAATCCATAGTGTTCCCACGAGAAGAACGGTTTAGCAGTCCACCCGGGCAGAGCCGACATACCCGGGTAAGGCTAGGGTTGTGAAGGTGGGGGTCGCCTGTTCCCCACCTCCAGAGGACGCGTCGCGACTGGGAAAAGCCCCCAGCCACAAACCCCTCGGCCGCGTCTACCTTGGGCTGGCTGATTTTTTATTGAGGTTGTCTCCTCTTGAGGCCACCCAATTAAGGGCAGCCCCCGCCCCGGCCCCACAGCAGTGGGGTAACGGGGTCGGCCGGTGGTTGCTGACAATCAGCACCCGCCACTCATGACCACCATGAGACAGCGGGCCCACCGCCCTCGCTGGCACGGCCGCTTCCCGGGATACCCAGGGCGCCCGTCCAGCCCGAACCGCGCCGCCGCTGCCCGACTTACCGTCGGGGCGCCGGCCCGGAGCCCACACTGCGAGACTTCTCGCACGACGGAGACAGAACTCCGTTTGCCCACTCGTATTCTGACATCAGCCGTGGCGGCTCAAAGATGCTTTGAGCGGCCACGTTGCCCGGGGTGCACCGCGAGGAGGTTGTCAGACATCGCACCCCAACCTAACCTAACCTAACCTAACCTAACCTAACCTAACCTAACCTAACCTAACCTAACCTAACCTAACCTAACCTAACCTAACCTAACCTAACCTCAACCTCAACCTCAACCTCAACCTCGACCGATATTACACGCACAAGAACAAAAAAAAAAAAAAAAAAAAAAAAAAAAAAAAAAAAAAAAAAAAAAAAAAAAAAAAAAAAAAAAAAAAAAAAAAAAAAAAAAAAACCTAAACCAAAATCAATAGCCCCTGAGGCAGAGGCAGAGGCACACGCACCCCACGAAAGACTGTCACCACCACCACCACCTCCACCGCTGGTAGTGCGCATATTTCCTCGATCGTATTACCATCTAAAGAGCTAATCGACCGCCAGATTTCAGGACCCGAACACGCAGTGACTGAAGGGGGCGAAGGATACAACAGCGACACAACCCGCCCGGCGGAGGAGCATCACGAGGACAACTATCATAGCATCATAACCGAAAGCAGCTTTGACCTGGACGCATTCTTGGGTCTGGACCTGGACTTGGAACTGGAACGGGAACTGAACCAGACGACGAGGGGTGACACTACGACGACTATCTCTCATCACACGCAACATACTGACCCACTCGACCCCATACCCTCGCAATCAGAAACAATGCAACGGCAACAACCACACCACCAAAAACAGACGGCAAGCAATGAACACACACACTCATCTCAGGACCGTCGATCGCAGGACACTCCTCGGCTCGAAACGCAATCTCGACCCAAACCTCAGCGGCGAAATCCTGGGAACGAAGACAAAGGCGACCATCTGAACGACGACGACCTCTCTCCCCGGACGTTCCCCCCCCGGTGAAATGACAACGACAAAAAAAAAAAAAAAAAAAAAAAAAAAAAAAAAAAAAAAAAAAAAAAAAAAGAATTCATCCCGAACCCCATGACCTCCAACTCAGAGGGAGGCAAAGAAACTCCCACGACTCATGCAGGGAAACTGGAGAGAACGGAACATCCTAGGCGCACGAGGCTCGGCAAACGCAGCAAACACCGAAAGCGCGAACGCGAACGAGAACACAAATCGGAACAACAACAAAACGATTCAGGCAACGCCTCGGGCGGATCGAGAACGGACACGACAGGACACCAACAATATAAGAGAAAGAGCAAAAGATTCAGCATCACCGACACAACGAACGGAAACACTCCAAAGCACATCCGCAACGTCACAGAGACTGTCACCTCGCACACCACCACCACAGCCAACGTTACTACCACCACCGCCAATACCACCCTGGGAGCTGAGATGGCCATGGCCATCGCTCTGGCGGCGCTACAACAGAACTCCACTCAGGCACCTCAAACACCTCAGACTACGATGACCTTGCCGAACCTGGAAACAATCCTGGCCGCCTGGGGGAGGGGTACGACACCCGCCGATGCCGAATCTGAAGCACTCCCCACTCACCGCACCCAGTCCACTCGCTCTCCCTCAAACGAGGAAGGCAGCATCGGCACGCAGTTCTCAACCCCGCAACACCATCCGCATCAGCAGTATACGTCACATCAAACACTCCAGTACAGCCTGCACCGCCAGAGACAACGAATGCATCTCACGACCGGGCCCATGTTGCCCACGGTGTACCCGTCGATCACAAAGAGCTCCAGAAAATTTTGCAACAGCGAAGGGATTCACTCCTACACCGTGTGCAAATGTGGAAGCGGACGAAACAAAAAGCAGTGCATACTGTGCGGAGCGATAGTCACACATCCCGTCAGCAGGCACTATAAAAAGAAACACCCCAATTACGTATTTGATAACAATCACCAACATTACCCGAAGCCATACTACTTTTATACCGAGAGGGCCAGGTTGAAATGCCCCAAGGAGCTGAGACCACCGAGAGAATCAGAGAACACGGTCATGGGATACTCCCAGGAATTTGTCGGATACAAATAAGAGGACAACTCACACTGGAACAAGAACAACACAACACGACACGACACAACACGGCACACACACTGACAGCAAACACATAAACTCAACCTCAACATAGAAACACACACGAGCATACACGCAAATACACACGCACACACACGCGCACACACACGCACGCATACACAAACTCACTCAAACTTAAACAAATAACACACCCGTACTCTCAAATAGGCACTCTCACACACACAAATAAGCATTTGCATTATAAATCTAACCTATAGCAACACAAGTCATAGAATACTCACCAAAAACACGATGAGGGGGGAGCCGGGGGGGAGGCTCGCCCGCGCTCTTTGCTTCTCTCCTGAGTGCTACATCCGATCTGGCTCGGGCGGCGGGGGTGGTTGCCCCCCTCTCCGGCGTCGTCTTCTTCGTCTTCCTCTCCTCGCCCTCCCTGCGTGGACTCGCTTCGGACCGGCATCGGTCTCTCTCTCTTCCGCCGCCTCTGCTGCTTCTCTTTCTTCTCTGGTCTTCTCGTGCTCGCGTTGTTCCAAGCTTGATCTTCTCGCCCACTCGTGACGGCTGTAGCAAATGAATGAAAGACCCCTGAAACAGAAAAGTACAATTAATTTAAATCAAATCAAAAACAAACCAGCAGCAAATCAGTTCAGATCAAAAGAAAGAAATAGATAAATAGATAAATAATTATAGAGAAACGAATAGACAAATACATACTCTCAGTCATTCGGGCCCTAAGCCCCCACCCTATTCACTCACCCACCTGCTACATCACCATATTCCATTAGGAAAGCACAAAGTAAGGAAATGAACGAGCAAAACTAAACTAACAAACTAGAGTTATACACGGCAAATCACAAAAGACAACTATAATCGCGATAACGGCTTAACACACCGGAAGAGGCACGGGACGGCTGACTGGTTTATCATCCCTGAAACGACAACTCTCGGTCCTCGCCCCGCCTGCCTTGGAGGCGAGGAACCGAGACCACACCGGATACGACTTTGCAATTCCGGCCCCGATTAGGGAAAGGATTGGGCGCGGGCGCAGGCGGGATGGATGCTGGGGACCTCTAAGGGGGGGATTTATTTTATTGATTAATTAATTATAGCAGAGCAGGCCGTCCCGCCTGCTACCCTACCGCCAGTTGACTCACCCATTTTTGCCCCTTCTGGGAAACCGCTCTCCCTTTCGGAGAGCCATCAAGACGCCACCCCGCCTCAAGGGGAAAGGTGCAAACATGTAAAGTGTCCCAGACACAATACACAAATATGTAAATATGTAATGATATAATAAATAAATTAATTGTAAATAAAATTAGGAATCACATAGGATAACGATAAGTAAGTAATAATCACATATACAATTGTGCATAGCAATCACCCTGCCTCAAGGGAAAGGGCGTAAACATATAAAAGTGTACTGACGTTGCACATAATCAGGTTAATGTTATATAATAAATAAAATGTAAAATATAAATAAGGTAGAGATTAGTTAAAACATAGGATAGGTAATAATCTGTACATAACACATTATTGTATATAAATAAAAAAAAAAAATAAATAAATAATAATAATAATAATAATAACATACATAAAAATTACATTAGATTATACAAGAATTGTACTATATTTTGATTCAGTATCACAACAATCATGTAAAATTCCAATAGTAAAAATCCTGAATTATATCCTATTGATTGTACTATCTTAATTATTACTTTTAGTAAATTCTCTGTAACTGATTTAAAATTGATTAGTATCTTATAAGCAACCCCGAATCACAATGAGACAATATACAAAGTAAAGCTTCCTTCCTTCCTTCGAATTAACAAACACCAAATATGTAATATTGTTAAATATAAGTTAAAAATAAATGTAAATATAACTCTCTCACAAATATCTAAAAATTATTTACAATAGTTTCAATATTATAAATTAATAAATAAGAATACCGTGCAATAGTATTACTCCATTTGTAAATGTAAATGTTAACTTTACCTTCAGCTCACCTAAGGTTAGGATTAGAATTAGTTAATTTTAGCACATAGCACACGTCATATAGGCACTACTTAAACAAGGAAGGAACCCCCCCCGCTCGGCTCCTCATGATCAGGCATTGCGCCCTATGGCTGGGAATGGGGAGTCGGGCGGGTGAACCCCCTTCTACTCCTATAAAGGTAGCACCGGGCTCAATAATCGCTCAAACACAGATAAATTAAGATTAATACAGACAGCTTTCAATCAACATTAACATTCAGTAAAAGCCTTAAGCCACGCTTGCAAGCACGGTTCGGTCCGGTCGCCCCAATGCCAGAGGTGTGGAGGGTGGGGCCTTGGGGCGATCGGCCCGATAGCTGTGCCGAACTATAACTTACACAAACAAGCAAGTGAGCAAGCATTTAACCAACAAACAAAAGGAGAATAGACAAGGTAGGGGACACTCTGCGAACCCCACATGCAGAGGCTAAACAAGGCTTCTCGCATTATTCTCCAGCTCCGGCTCTTCACATAACTAAGCGACAGAGGCTGATCCGGCGTCGGGGCAACACGACATGGCGGCTCCATCTATTTCTCCTCCTTCTAATTTCAGAAAGTTCCAATTCAAGAACATTTCTCTGAAGTTACTAGCATACCAGCGTCACATCGCATATTCCAGCATAGTATCAACATCTAGGCCAACACCATCACTGAGCTGCTCCGGATCAAATTAACCCTCGGCTAGTAGAGCATCAGCAGCATTAAGCGACTCTCACCAACCTGGCTGCACCAACCGGAGAGATAACATCAATTTTCGAAAGTCGCAATCACACAGGGTGCCTCAACGGCCCCGGCGCCCCGCGACCGCGTCCTTCGTCATTAACGGACGCGGTCGCGGGGCGGGGGGGCCGCCTCACTTCAATTCATTCCTGGCATCCTCCCAACACCTCATCATCTGCTCTCATCTTTACATTCACCTATCACGCATCTCTATCTGGGGGCAGGGGTTCTTTACTCACCTCACACTCACCACTCTTACTTCACCATTCTTCGACCCCTGCCCCCACTTTCTCATCACCCTCTATCCCCCTTTCTTTCTCTCTACCCCTATGGAGGGGGTTCGTGGACCAACATGAAGCTCCCGGGCAAAGCCCAACCCCCTCCACTCATCCCCACCCATCACCTGCGCCTCTTCTATTCTTAGAAGCTGGTACAATCCCCCCTCAACAAGGGGATTTAAAGCAAAAATCTTCACGACTTCACAAACTAAATACAATTGAAATTTTAAAAAAAAAAAAAACCTAACCCAGTTACGTCTCGCCCCCCGAGGAGAACAGATCGGAAAACGTAACGCTCCACGGTTAAAAAAAAAAAAAAATAATAATAATAATAAAAAAAAAAAGTGGTAAATCCGAAACGTAGAAGGAAGTGTTATATGTCAAAAGATAGGTCTCGGCGAGACCTATCCAACGACGTATCGCGAGTGAAAATTGGAAAACAGAGTGAAAAGTTATTAAAGAAAAACGAAAAAGTGACCACGTGTTTACATAAAAAAAACAAGTGTTTTTAAGTTATAACTAAGGAACCTACTTACGGATTGCGGTGTACGATACGTCAAAAGACGCGCGCCAAGGAGACGCTTCACCTGATACCTCGGGCACAATTCTACTCTTCGTGGCTTGAGAGGTATTTGGGAAAAACCTCTCGCCACGAGGTACCAGTTCCCGAGGACCTGGAGCATCGGCGACGGTGCAGCCTGGAAGAGGACGCGAAGACAATCAAAAAGGTCAAATTCTCTAAAAAATCCATCGAGAAACAACAAACCTACGCACTTTAAAAAATTTTCACATTCAAAATTCATAGTGTCTGGGGATTGTGGAGAACAGCTCGGTTTTATGAGCGGCCCGTGTAGACAATCCCCAGACCTATCCACAAAAAAATCGGCATCACTGGAGCTCTTCTACAACCGGAGGAATCGGCCCGCAAAAAGTGGGCCCACTTTTCGCCGAGCTAAATATCACTATCTCTTGTCCTATTTAGAAGGAGATGCAGCTAGGATAATTTCAAATCTAGAAATTTCTAGTGCTAATTACATTGAAGCATGGAATTTACTCCATAATCGTTACAATAACAAGCGTATTTTAATTAACCAGCACCTAAATTCTTTGTTTAATATTAAGCAGATCCAACGTGAATCTGAAAGGTCATTAAGGTTTTTAGTGGATCACGTGACAAAGAATTTGCGGGCGTTGTCCAGCTTAGGACAACCGACTGACAAGTGGGATGTTTTAATTATCTTTATGTTAACTTCAAAGTTGGATAGTAATACTTTGTTGAAATGGGAAGAGTTTCGAAATAATATAGATAGTGATGTTCCTTCTTTGGAGAATTTCTTCAAGTTCGTTATAGATAGGGCGGATGTACTCGAGGCTTTAAATCGTAATAGGCATGACAGCAGCATTTCGAAGCCCTCAATGATACCTACACGTAGCAATAACTCACCTCAATCTTCATACGGTTATAACAACCAAAAATCAGGTCAATATGCATATACAAAAACGTTTGCCAATTTTAATTCTAAAACTAACAAAATTACTAATTATAATTGCATAATCTGCAACGGAAATCATAAAATTTATGACTGTTTTACCTTCAAGGCAAAGGGAGTTGATCAAAGAATGCAAGATGTTACAAAATATAAATTATGCATAAATTGTCTCAGACAGGGCCATCCTGCAGCTGAATGTCGAATGGGACCGTGTCGTGAGTGTAATCAGAAGCACAACACTTTGCTTCATCGCGCACCGTCGTCAATAAATAACGTCATTGAAGTAGAAGACAACAACGAGTCTTTATCAACCTATGCAAACCAATGTTCCAATCATGTTCTTTTATCAACTGCCGTAGTAGAGGTGTTGAATCCATTGAACCAGCAAAAGGTCAAGGTTCGCACTCTTTTAGACTGCGGTAGCCAATCCTCCTTTATCACTGAGTCGCTGAAAGCTAAATTATCACTAAATTCAAAATCTATTGAAGCACTGAAAGTCATTGGTATTGGCAATAATGTCACAAATAATGTAATTGAAACTTGTAATATTCAAATAAATTCAATATGTAGTAACTTTCAATTAGTATCTCAATGTTTGGTATTAAAAGAATTAACAGGTTGTTTACCAAAGACGCCTATCGATATTTCATCACTAAAGTTACCGGCTAACTTTCAATTAGCTGACCCTAAGTTTTTTGAACCAGGTCCAATAGACCTGCTCATTGGAGCCGACATATTTTGGGATATTCTAAACAACGAGCAGCTATCGTTGGGGCCCAGCAATCCAAAGTTGATTAGCTCGAAACTGGGGTGGTTAGTGTCCGGTTCTATTAGTACAAAACAGTTATTTAGAGCGACGCATTCTAATCATTCAGTCGTGTCTTGTTCATTTAATCAAGAATTTGAAAATTATTAATCCCTTGTGACTGTTAAGTCCTGTCATAATCAAATCCAAAATTTTACTATTTATTTTGCGGCGCGGCACACCAACGGAAATATTCAGCGATAACGGACGTAATTTCGTGGCTGCTGCCAAAGATATAGGTACTTTTATTAGACAAAATAAAGAAGTGATAACTGATTTTGCTAGTGAACAAAATATTAAATTTATATTTATTCCCGCTTATGCTCCTCATTTCGGCGGTATTTGGGAAGCAGGTGTAAAGTCGGCTAAACATCATTTGCGTCGAGTCATGGGTAATAGTCATTTAACCTATGAAGAAATTTCCACTCTGTTTGCGCAAGTGGAGGCGATTCTCAACAGTCGTCCGTTGTGTCCTTTGTCATCTTCTCCCAATGATTTACTTCCTCTCTCTCTGGGACACTTCCTTATTGGAAGAACATTGACAGGACTACCTTCACCTGCTTTCTATAACTGTAGTGAGAAGCAACTAAAACGATATGCGAGATTGGAAGCCATGCGACAACATTTTTGGCAGCGATGGCAGAGGGAATATTTATCGGAACTGCAGCAAAGAACAAAATGGCGCACAGACAAGTCGAAGTTGAAGGTGGGAGACATGGTGCTGATCTCAGAAGATAACAGTCCTCCGTTAGCATGGCGACTGGGAAGAATATTGCGACTGATTCCGGGACCGGATGGAGTTTCGAGAGTTGCAGATATAAATACCAGCAAAGGATCTATACGAAGGCCACTAACTCGCATATGTCCTCTACCTACAGAAGATGAACTTTAGTGTTGAAAGTACTCTTTCAACGGCCGGGAAGATGTTGCGGCGCCAAACGCCTTTGATTTTATTGACAGCAATCGCTCATACGTCATATTGTTTCACCATCAATTTTTATAAAAATATAGTGTGGGTACATTATTACATACTTCACAATTTGCACTGTAAAGAGTCTTCTACGAAAATTACATTGTTTAAATCAAGAAATCTATTTTTTATTGCCACCATTGTGTAACTAAATACAGGCATGTCAAATGTACGACAACATGACTCAAATACATGGAGCGGTAAATTCAAATACGGCGTATAGGGCGTATATTTTTTATCAGAAAATAGTCGTAAAATGGTTTACTGGGTTCGCAGGTATGATAATGTTCTGGAATAGGGTCGCAATCGATTAATACGTAACAGAGATAGAAACATTTGCATTGTACTTGCTTGTTTCTATTTTATTCTCATAAAATATTTTTTAACAGTGATCCCTAGAAAAAAGTTGTCTTTGTTTATAATTATGTCAATTTTAAGAAAATAGATATAAAAAAAAATTAGATGATAGTATTGGCATCCTAGAAGCCAAAAATGGGAAAACCTTAAAAACGTCGTAATGTAGCTTTACCACGTTGTTCTGCGGGGGCAGCGATATCAGTTTGAACAGGTATTTCCCACATGATTTTAGTTCTTTCATTTTCTTTTATTTGCGATTGTGTAAGAGCTTCTTTCCACTACTGATTTGATACTTCAATATTGTATATCATGTCCAGGCACCTATTTTTATTATTATTATTATTGTGTCTGTAACGCATACTTTCTTACTTCGGCCACATTATGCGAAAAGGAGATGATAGCCTTGAAAAACTGATCATTGTTGGAAATACAGAAGGAAAAAGATCACGAGGTCGGTCACCGACACGATGGTCTGACCAGGTGAAAGGAGCTACATCCCTACCCAAGTTCTGCGAGGTGGTGAGGGCTGCTTCCGGCCGGAATCGATGTTCGTTTGCGACTTATTTTTTTTTATTTAAATTGATATAAATTATAATTTTACAGAAAATATCTATACGTAGCTCGGTAGCGCAACAGATATGAGCCGCTACCCACGATTGTATTTGTTAAGCAATAAAGCAATTAATTTCATGGCAATTTTGGCGAACACAGTACTTCAAATTGATATAACTTTTTTTTTGTTATGAATCGATTGTAATAAAACTTATACTAAATGTTAACGGAAGGTTTCCACGATACAATAGTAAAAACTGCATTAAAACCGGTTCAGCCGTTTCTGAGATTAGCGTCAGAGCTAGTGTTGCCAGGTCCAATTTATTATTAATCGGGACAGCGCGTGTAATTAATCGGGATTTGGGGTTGTAAATCGGAACAGACAAAAAAAACAAGTACTTTAAATAAGTATTTGGCAACAAAACTTGTATCAAAAGATATAATGCAGTTGAGACAGAAATAGATCTTTTTTAAGTATTAATAACATATTACAGCATGTAACTGCGTATACGTGATGGCAAGCAAGAAAATATATATAAATTTCCGTTTTTGATCAAGATTGCAGCAAAATATTTATCGACGCCAGGAAGTATTTTTTATTCAGATCGTCTTTTCTCTGGAGCTGGGCTAGTTTATGAGAAAAAAAGAAGTAAACTACTTTCTTATAATGCAGAAAATATATTTTTTCTACACCATAACCTTCCGCTCTTAAACTTTGATTACGACAACAATTCAAATGCAAATAAAAGTCGATAAATTTTGTAATAAATGTGAAAACAATATTATTATAAAATTAATCAATAATTTATTTTATTTTGACAAATTATTTCATTACAAAAAAAAATTAGGTACATAAACATTCGGTATTCGGCAGAATACCAAATATCTCCATACTATTCAGCAGCAACTATAACAAAAGTAGCCGAATACTTACCGAATATTCTTTGCAAGTCTACTAAAAATGTAACAAATTGCATAGCAACACCTAGTTTGATTAACAGTAATTTTGAATAATTTTTAATTTTGAACTTTTGAACATTAAATTGAAAAATGGAGACGACTCCATGAATTTTCAGTACCCGATGCGTTAGAAAATAAGTTGCGCGAGCGCTGTATTTATGCCTGAGTTTCATTGTTCGCCAATGAAGGTTGTTCGTTGTTTGAATTCGTTATATCAAACATTTATAATCCAAATGTTCCTCGACTGCAATGAGGAGTTTAGCCGAACCATATTACAGCAAATTATTTTTTTTAGCTCGATTTTGGCATTCCTGTTTTTGTAAAATAGTGATTTATAGAATATAAATATATTTTTTTATTTCTTTTAAAAATATTTTGATATTCTTATTGCTATAGTCCATCTAAATTGCTAAAACAATCTTTTTATTATTAAAATTATTTAATTGTCATTTATCCGCCATATTAAATATACAAAAAAATGTATAGCCAGTGTCACTCGAGATGATGTAATGTTGAACACCCTAACACCCTATACCAACATTAATATTCAAAGTTATAGAGGAATAAAGAAACAGACCTAGGATTTGATAGTATGAAAATATATATATATATATTTTTAATAAAAATGCTTGATTTTTCGGGACATTTAAATACTACTACACGACACGACATTTAAGTAATACTATTCATATGTATGTATGCGTGTGCGCCCGTGCGTATGCGTCGTCGTACGCACACACTTGTAAAATTATGGAAGTTATAGGAGTTCAAGGCACGAGTGGCAACTCGCCAGTCGCGGCTAGTAAGTCGTGCTTGCTTCTATTCCGCGTCGCTATATTGCTGCTCGTATAAAATTTCTAGTTTGGGGTTATGTTACCTACTCAACGTTGCTGCCCTTGTGGACAAGATGATCCGCAGTTTTCCGGATATCCGTAACAGTACAATATGAATTTGGACTAATGCTAAAAATGCAATTGTAGCGTAAATTTATTTTGACGCCAAACTTTGTTTGTTAATAGCACTGTGAGTGTTTGTTCACTGGTTCATTGGTTCACCGGTGCCGCTGTCCGGAGCTGACAGCCGGTGTACATCCTCGCCAGCCTCTGCCGGCGCGTGACACCGTGAGCGTGATAGAGGCAGTGGCGTTGGCTGGCTTTATGTTTGTGGTCATGATTTAATCTCATACACTGGTAGTAAATTATAGAGGTGCAAGTAAAACAACGAGTCAATTTAAACTTATATATTTTTTGTATCACTATGAATATAAATAGTTTGACTAGTTATAAGTTTGAGAAATTCACAAATGCGAGTCACGTTCTAATTAATAAAAGTGACGCCCTGGTGAATTTACGATCATTTGTTCACTGCCGTAATCGAGATGACCCATAAGTAGGCCCACGTAGGTGTCATGTCTAAGTCCAGTATCGTGTATATTATCGCGTCACTCCGATATATTAGTTGGCACACGTGCAGACGCCACTTCAGCTGCGCAGTCGCAGTCGTCAGCAGCACGTGGCGGGTCGCGGCTGCCGGTACATCGCGGCTACGTCACAATTAGCACCAATAACACTATTATGAATCCGGATACGAGGCAAATAACCAATCCATACTTTTTCTGTAAAGATCGAAATAAAACAAATTGTTATACCATTGTCCCAGAATATTAACTAAAAAAGGTCGAGGCCGGCCTACCACACAACATACCGCCACAGCCGTATATTTTAGTTCTCACAGAAGTTTTATAATTGTTTAATAATCAGAATTTGTGAATGATATTTACTTTAAAACAGAATTTTGAATGTAAATTGCCATAAAGGTTTGCATTGCCGGTCGCCAACATAAATAGCATAACAAACTATGTATATCAACCTGGTTGGCTCGTTTGTGGCTCACTTTCCCGCTGAGCAGCTGCTGTCCTCCCAACTCCACATGCTCGGTCGCCTGCAGCGCGAAGTATTCCACGCTGTCTATTTGCTCTTGCTGTAACCGAATGTAAAATAATATTTATTATTTTATATTAATTACGAGTAAAAACATTCTAATAAAATATCTGCATAGTTATTGTGGTGGTAATATCAATCGTATAATATTCTTGTGGTTTCACTTTGAAAAGAATAAATCAATAAGCTTTTAAACATACTTAATTTATTAATTAATTTAAAGCAAAGAAATATTCGAATATTTTTTTAAGACAAAGTGTCACAAAGAGTAAATCCTAAAAACATGACAAGTAAATTTCTTTTTCTTTTATAAAAATAATTGTGTTGTGAACCAAAGAGTAAGTATTTACTTACAGCGTGTTTGGTAATACCTGTATAATCCCGATTATGGCACATACGGTATGATGAATAGAACCCAGAAAAATGATTACTAAGTCTGAAACCCAGCACATGACCTAGATATTTAGTTTTTTTTTTTTGAAGTAAAACTGTTCGCTGGCAACCCTAAAAACAGCTGTTCTGTTGTATTTGGTCATCGACTCCATGTGCCGAACTAGTTTAAAAAATAACAGAAGTTAAATAAATCTAAACATAAATGCCTAGAATAAACATGCATCCGAGAGTAATTTGTTATTTCAAAAACAAAGAAAAAAGTTTGTAGTAAATGCCTTTTAACCATAAAATTACACCAATCTTGTGATTAACGGTGTTTCAAAAACTATTATTAAGAAAACTTCTCTAATAATACAGTCAAAATAAAAAAGAAATTGCAAATACTTTGATTGAAGTTAGATATCTGCACTATTGCTCACATTAGTCTATGCAAGAAGGAGCGACAGAGACATAAAATCGACGACGATGTGTATTGAGAAACTCGGGTTTCTGATGTGTCAGTAAGGTTCTGTAGATTAATTGCTTTGAAGTTTTGTTATTATTTTCAAAAAGCAGTGTTATTTTCACGAAACAATAAAATACGGACTTATACAATGATATTAATAATCTAAATATCTCGCTTATTCTTAGTTTAAATGATAATAAAATAAAGGTTAGTTGTAATGGAAAGGTCTAATAACAAATAATATTTCTTTCCTTTTCTAATTTAATCAATAATTTTTATGCCTTATAATTTTGTTAATGACTTGGTCTTAAATAAGGTAACCACTTTTAATATTATGGCCTTTTTTTCTTTTGCAACCGTTAAAAGCGTAAATAAAATTGTAATAATAAGCAAACAGCCTAATTATCAATTTCGTCAGTAAAAAAAATAGCTAATAAGTTACATTGAAATTTCATTGTTTAATTAAATAATAAAATAACGATTTTTTGTTAGGTAGGTTACCTAACACAGAATTTGATGACGCGGAACCCTAAATCGGTGCACTTTTGATTTAGGTACCTACATTGGTGTTCGAGTTGCAATAATTACCTATGTAGTTTTGGTCATCGCTTTCATCGGTGTAGTTCTGAGTTTTCAGAATTTAGAAGGTCAACTTACGTTTTCGTTCTTTCGGAACTTTTGGTTTGTTTTTCATACTCGTTCTGTTTACCTGTGTGTTGTGTTTGTGTGCGGTCAGTGCTATGAGTTCGTACTCAAATGGCTAATATTACGAGATGATATTGTGCTTGTGACGGTAATCTTGGTAATCTTGCTGCGGCTCGGCGGCGTTATGACGAGCGCCACGTGTCAGGAAGATCTGAAAACCCTCGACGTCTTCCTTCTTACCGGTGCTTCGCGGCACTTGTGAATCGGTTACATACAACTGGTTCATTCCATAGTGTGATTCCTGTATCGGCCGGCCGAACACCTATTCCATCGAGACAGAGGATATAATTTTACGTCGAGAGTAACACGGTCTGTGTCGAATTGAATGGAGATGTGTGTTTTATGCGGTGGCCGGCATATCGAGACCTTGGACTGATAAAGTGGAGGTGAAGTGTAGGTAATGTTGACAAGTGAGAGCTGAGAGAGTGATTAGAACGCTGCCTCTAGATATGTACTTGTTTAATCATAAATTGTTTTAATTACAAGTAAACTCATACGCTGTCGAGTGTGCGCGTCGGCGACATCAAAGTGTATTCTAGGAAACGAGAGGAGTGAGAGGTAATGAGAGAGAGAGAGAAAGAGAGTGAGTACGCCGGGACGGCACGTGTAAGCTTTCAGGGTTGTAGCATATTAATTGAAAACAAATTGTTCACATATTTGTATGAAAATCTCAATTTACGTGAAATTGTTTTTTGACATGTTCTTTGTGCTAAGTTGTATGGCCATGTTTCGGGATTATACATGTATTTCCAAACATCCTGTATTCTATAAGTTTCAGGTGCAGCTGCCACAACCACAACATTCCCTTGCCGAGACCATTTCACGGTCGATAGTAGTTCGGGAAATGTACTTTTCTGCCACTTCTAGTGCTTCTTTCAGCCGGATATTCTTCAGATGGTGATTTCATAGTATGTGGAGATGCACTCAAATCAGAATTACGTGCCATGTAAGCTGGCTTAAGTCTGTCAACAGATACAGTAGTTTCCTTTCCTTGTATACATATTTGCAATATTTTAGTGTTATTATCACGTCATATAACTTTATATGGGCCAGAGTAAGGTGATTCGAATGTTCTCTTTGCAGGACCTCTACGCAGGAAGACGTATTCTGCTGCGGATATATCTTTGGGTAAGAAAAATGGCTTTTTGCTGTGACATGATGCAGGTGTTGGTGATAGATTTTCCATGTATTTTCGCAAGCGAGCTGCAAAGTCGGTTATGTCCAGTGTAATATCAGTGAGTGGAGTGAAGAATGCACCTGGCAGTCGAAGAGGTTTTACATAGACTAATTCAGCGGCGGAGCTTTTGATGTCATCTTTCCAGGCATTCCTCATATCTAGGAGTACTAAAGGCAGTGACTCGGTCTATTCTGAACTATTGTGACAGGTGATAGCAGCTTTCAGTTGACGATGCATTCTCTCAACCATACCATTGGATTGGGGATGGTAAGCTGTCGTCGAATTATGTTTGGCGCCGATCAATTTGGTTATGGTCTGGAAAAGATGTGATTGGAATTGCTGACCTCGGTCGGCAGTAATTGTTTCAGGACATCCGTAGCGTGCTACCCAGCCGAACATGAAGGTTGCAATACAAGTTTCTGAGGTGATGTCGACTATGGGATACACCTCAGGCCATCGCGTGAACCTGTCGACGGCGGTGAGATAGTACCTGTAACCAGATGAAATTTGCAACGGACCAATTATATCAAGGTGAACATGGGAAAATCTGGTTGAGGGAATTGGAAAATAAGAGAAAGGAGAAAAGGATTGTCAGGTAATTTTGTTGCGTTGGCAATCTTCGCATTGTTGAACCCATGTTTTGCATTCCTTGTTGACACCGGGCCAAACAAATCTATCAGCCACAAGTCTAGCAGTTGCACTCAAACTAGGATGACTGAGGTTATGAAGGCTGGTGAAAACTAGTTTTCAAAAGTTTGGAGTTAAATAAGGACGGGGATTACTTTTCGAGACGTCACAGTATAAGTTGTGAGGAGGCATTTTCTTTTATTTCAAAACTGTTCCATTCTCAATGAGGTATTGAAGTTCAAGATCTTGAAATTGAACTCGTGCCAGCTGTTCGTAGTCAATACCCGAAGTTATTTCCTCTACTCTGGAGAGTGCGTCCGCTACAACATTGTTTTGTCCAGAAATATGTCTTAAGTCAGTTGTGTGTTGAGAAATGTAATCTAAGTATATAAATTGACGTGGTGAACAGTTATCTCGTTTAGTTTGGAACGCGATAGTGATAGGTTTATGGTCTGTGTAAACTGCAAAATTTCGAGCTTTCATCAGAAAACATTTTATCCATTCATAAATAGCAAGAAGTTCTCTATCGTAAGGACTGTATTTCTTTTGTGAAGGTGATAATTTTCTGGAGAAAAGTCCCAAAGGCGTCAGGTCATCTTTCTTTTGTTGAAGAACATGTAACAGTTTACTTAATAAACTGTCCTTGTTTTGAATTTTTTTTTTAATACAAATAGATTTAAAGAAAAATATAATTAAAAATAGTTGAAGGTACAATGTTAACAATTATATTGTACTATGGAGGTGGGCAGACATAGGAGCGCAGCGCGGCTCATAGTGGTGGCATAGTATTTAAAATGACTTCTCGCGAGTCCAATTTTCATTGTGATTTGATTATTTCAAATTGTGTGTAAGTGCTAAATAACCCCGAAATCGGGGTTTCTACTGCTAGTTTCTACTGCTAGTTTCTACTGCTAGTTTCTACTGCTAGTTTCTACTGCTAGTTTCTACTGCTGTTTCTACTGCTGTTTCTACTGCTAGTTTCTACTGCTAGTTTCTACTGCTAGTTCTACTTCTTCATCAACTCCAGTCCTCCGGAGCTTCGTGGACCTTCGGTGCTGCTGACCGGAGCTGACGTCGGGTCTACACCCTTCTCAGCCTCTGCCCGGCCCGTGACGCCGAACCCGCGAAGTCCTCACTAATTGCAAAACTTAAAAGCTAAGTCCTCCCCTCGTAATTATAGAAACAAGAACCATAACGAGCGAATATCTTAACCTACCCCCTGAGAACTAAAATAAAGATTGTTAAACTTTATTATTACTTTTATTCTTTATACCTGAAGCCTGGGGGTGCTTCACACCCCCCATCTACAACCCCAAACGCTTCAGTGGCGCCCGGCTCGCTCAGGATTTCGCTCGCTCTGTGGTTCTTGTTTATTTCTAATTTTTTTTCTTATATTTTATTAAAAAGTGGGTAACAAGTTTTTCCTTTTTGGGTGTGATCTCGACTGATCTCACACTCATTTTAGAGTCAAGTTCCTGCCTCATTTGGTAGCTGTAAAACCAATTAATCATTCTATAATAAATTTTTTTTGCAAATTTAAAAAGAAATAACATTATTACGGTCATTTCCGCTTGGTTTAACCGCTTGTGTTTAGCATCCGGTTTTCAAATAATTGGTTACATTTTATAATCTAAATTGATATTAACTATTTCAAAAAAACTAAAATTTTGAAACTATAGATACTACCCACTTC